CCTGCAAATGCTTTAAATGGTCCTCTGCTCACAGGGACTTAACTAACATATCGTCAATGTAAACTTCCATAGATTTCATTATTTGTTCTTCGAATATTCGATTTACTAGGCGTTAAGTTGCACCAGCATTTTTTAATCCAAATGGCATTACGTTATAGCAGTATGTGCCATACTTAGTGATGAAGGAGGTATTTTCTTGATCATCCGGGTTCATCCGTATTTGGTTGTACCCGGAGTAGGCATCGAAAAAACTGAGGATCTCATGGCCGACCGTAGCATCGATCATGCGATCGATGTTAGTGGGAAAGAGTCTTTGGGGCATGCCTTATTTAAATCTTTATAATCCATACACATTCTCAGTTTGTTCCCTTTTTAGGTACTACTACTACATTTGCTAACCATTCTGGGTATTTGACCTCCCGCATGCACCCTATTTAAGGAGTTTAGTTACCTCGTCCTTGATGAAAGCATGCTTGATCTCGAACTGGGGTCTCCTTTCTGCTTGACCGGATGGAATTTCAGGTCCGGGCTTAGCTTGTGAGTAGTGATCTCCGGTAGGATCCTTGTCATGTCGAGATGGGACCAAGCAAAACAATCCATGCTAGGTATGAAAAATTGAATGAGTTTTTTCTTGAGTTCGGGAGTTAACCTCGTGCCCAGGTATACCTTTCTATCGGGTAGATGTTCGATCAGTATGACCTGCTCCAGCTCTTCAACCATTGATTTGGTAGAGTCAGAATCATCGGGGGCTATAAAGGATCGAGGAACCCCGTAATCATCGTCTTCGTCAGTCCCTGCTTGTCCGATTGGGTCGAGGACGACATCGGTGATTGTTATTTGGCTTCTTGTTTTGCTTTCGAACATGGATCCTTTGTCGATGAGAGTGTTGATATCGAAATAACTTCATCAATGGCAAATATCTCCTTTGCGGCAGGTTGCTCCCTATAGATCATTGTAATCCCCTCTGGTGTTGGGAATTTTAATACCCAGTGAAGGGTCGGTGGATCTCTGGTCTCCCGAACAGGGCATTATACCTCTTGTCCCCTTCGATCACATAAAACTTGGTCTCCTGGGTGGTTTTGGCTATGTTTACCGGTAACGTTATTTCTCCCTTAGTATTTTCGCAAGCCATGTTGAATCCGTTTACCACTCGGGCCGAAGTCAAGATTTGGTCCTGTAGGCCGAGTTGTTCTACAACCCTCGATCAAATGATGTTGGTCGAGCTACCTGGATCAATTAACACATGTTTAACTCGAGTTTTATTCATGAGTACAGATATTACCAGTGCATCATTATGGGGATGCATAATTCCTTCTACATCCTCGTCGTTGAAAGATAAAGTTTCTTCTGGTATGTAATCTCGAGTCCGTTTATCCCTCGTGATTGATACTTTGGTGCGCTTTAACATCGGACTTTGAGGAACATCGACCCCTCCGATGATTATTTGAATGACGTGTTGAGGTTCTTCTTGCTCGTTTTATATATTGGAATCCCTGTTTCTAAAATGATTCTTGGCTCGGTCGCTCAAACATTCCCGAAGGTGCCCGTTGTTGAATAATCGGGCTATTTCTTCTCTCAATTGTCGACAATCCTTCGTTCTGTGGCCATGAGTTCCATGATATTTGCACATTTGGTTGGGATCTCTTTGGGTTGGATCGGTTTGTAAAGGTCGAGGCTATTTGGTATCTTTGATGCGTCCGATAGCTGATACAATGGCAGCTGCATCAACATTAAATTTGTATTCTGATAATCGTGGTGCTTCTTTAGGTCCGATAGGCCTGTCGAAGCCGTTCTTGCTCATGAGCCCTCGAGAGCTCTGGCCTCGATCACTTCTCCTTTATTTCGTACAGAATTTCGCCCAGATCCGCTGCTCCTACGATCTCCATTATATGGATGGTATTGATCTCTGTTCAACCACGGTTCTCGGTCAATATCCCTCTTGATTCTATCGATGGGTCTGATAGGATAAACGGACCCGTAAGGAGCCCCAAGTTGATCGTCTTCGACCCTGATCTTCGATTGATACCGATTATGCACATCAGCCCAAGTAACAACCAGGTATTCTATTAGATTCTGCTTCAACTGCTGCGAAGCCACCAAGCTTCGAACCTTGAGTCCTTGGGTGAAAGCTTGAACAGCCCAATCATCAACGACTGGTGGCAGGTCTATCCGTTCTATTTGGAATCGAGACACGAATTCTCTGAGCATTTTGTTGTCCTTCTGCCTTACCTTAAAAAGGCCTGACTTCCTAGCTTCAACCTTGATGGCCCCGGCGTGTGCCTTTACGAAAGAATCTGCAAGCATAGCAAATGAGCCAATAAAAGTAGGTGGTAAATTGTGGTACCATATCATAGCTCCCTTTGACAGGGTCTCTTCGAATTTCTTTAGCAAGACAGATTCGATCTCGTCATCCTCTAGATCATTCCCTTTGATAGCACATGTGTAAGAGGCAACATGATCGTTCGAATCAGTCGTTCCATTGTATTTTAGGAATCTCAGGCATGCAGAACTTCTTGGGGATCGCTTGGGACCCGCGCTCGGGGGGGGGGGGGGGGGGGAGAAGGTTTTTGCACGAACTTTTTGGAGTCCAGGCCCTTCAATATCGGCGGTGCCCCCAGGATTTGATCAACCCTGGAGTTGTAAGTTTCCACCTTCTTGTCATTTGCATCGATCTTCTTTTCCCCTGACTCAATTTATTTTGTCAGTTCTTCGAGCATCTTCATGATTGCAGGATTGGTCTCCGATTCTTTCTCGTTTGATTTCCTTGAAACCGATTCGACCCTGTGGACAACTTCCTGGGACGGTTCGGGCTCGATCCTACTCGGTGGGTGATTCTAGTTTTGGAGCTGGGATATCGCTGCCTGTTGAGCCTGCAACATTTCGAAGATCACCCGCAGGTTGATCCCGCCATCTTTGCCGCCATGCATGCTTTGAGCGGCTGATTGAACATCCCAACGGACGCTCCTCGGGATCGATGGCCAAATTTGCGTTGATGGCTACATGTAAGCTGATGTCGATTGGATCTACAGCCGGAACTCCATCGAGGCCAACCGGGGGTACGTCGTTCCCTAGTGCTATGTTATTGTTTTTTCCGTGGTGGCCGAAATCATTGTCAACGTGTAGGGGTGCTGATTGAGAGTTCGACATTTTGGTTCTGGAATCAAAGATACTCCAAAGAACAAGTATATAATAGTGTGTGTTATGAAAGTTTGTACCAGGTAATCACTATTATCTTTAGCCCCACAGTAGGCGCCAAACTGTTTACCCTTAAAATCGGATAACAATTAAATTTATGCGCGGTTTTAAGGATACGTGATATAACTTGATACAAATTAAGAAAACAAATTAATATTGAAATTAATGATAAGAGAATAAATACAAACCACACAAATTGAACAGCCTTGGCCATTGAGTTTGACCCTCAAACCAAGAAATGTCTCAACTGATGTAATAACAGAATAACAAGATGATAAGAGCTAGAAATAACAGTGTATTGTTTTTTGATGTGTATTACAATGTGTTTTACAAATGATCAAACCTCCCTTTATATAGTAGGGCAGTCCTACTCTTGATACAATTCTATAAAAGGTAACCAATCTCATGATTTGCTAATTGATCGGCCTTTCCTTGATATGTGCCGAGATTTCTTCCGCTATCTCCAACCGATCCCGGATATTTCGGCCTTCCGTTATTTGGCTCGACAAAGTTCCCTCGATCTTGTTCGGTCCTGGAGTCACGAGCTCAACGATTTAACTTCGCGCCTTGGTTCGATATAACCCGGGCTCGAGCTTTGACCTGTCATGTTTCAACCTCGGCTGGTCATACAATGGACAAACCCGATTTCGACCGTATACAAATATATCTTTATAAGATTATTTTTTTTATTAAAATAGTAAGTGGTCACAAGGGATAGTTTTTTTTTGTCTTACTCTATACGATAATTGAATAGTCATTTCTTCTAATTGTAATTATATAAAATAGGACCCGTCTATATAATTTTTCTTACTTTATTAATACTCATCTCAATATTATGCAAATACAAATAGTGAATATGAGAAATTCTCTATACTATTTGAAAGGCTAAACCACTCCTAAAAATCATAGGACATACAATAAAATTGCTAAAATGTCTAAAACGTATTTCCAACTAACATGTATTTTATACATGTACATTTTCCTTTCATTAAGTCCCGTCTTTCACTAAGTATGAAAGGATCCCTCTAATTTACAGGTCATTCAATAAATTCCTTCAATGGGAATTTATGTCTATCTTGTCCCCTTATAATACCTTCACTAGTTATTATTTCACATTGATGAATCAATGCATTTGGCGATCAAACACACGATATAGCCATACCATCTCAAATGATCTCCTATCATTTTATATGCACTTGGTGAATATGGTCATTTATAATCTTGTCTATTCTTGTACGAACATATTCATCTTAGTATCCGTATCACTGTAACATGCATTTTGTGGATAAATTGGACTTTAACTATCTAATATTCATCACATATAACATTGTTGGTCTATAAATTTGTTTATAGAATGTACCATCTATTTTGGTAGATATCATTATATCAAATGGCCAAGTTCATGGGGAAAACAGGATAAAAATTAATTCAAGTATGCACTAGATAAAACGTGTCAAATTTAGGGAGTCTCGAGGTATTCTAACTTTATAACTTCTATTTATCGGGGGAAGGGATTAAAAGGTGAGAAATGATCATACAAACACACAACATTTCAATTGGGCTTATGGAGCTTAGAGTTTCGAAAGAACACTTTTAGTTCGCGACAGAAACTATTTATATTCGGCAGCCGCAAAAATATATAAAATTTACATAATTTTTATATATAACACACAATATATATATATATATATATATATATATATATATATATATATATATATATATATATATATATCTAAAAATATATAAAATATTTATGTTTCGACTATTTGATAGCGGCCGAAGTATTTAATATCATTTTCCCAAAACTGTAGCCCACTAAAGGGTCCATGAAATAAACAGACACTTTTTGAATCTCGTCTTCCTCGTATTTTCTGAATTTCCCGTCGGAGATCGGATTCTGGTTTTCCAGGCCCATTCTCTCCCCGTCTCTCTCCCTTACAGGTGCTCTCTCTCTCTCTCTCTCTCTCTCTCTCTCTCTCTCTCTCTCTCCCTAAATTTTAACAGCGTTTGGTCCATGGGGTATTGCAAATTAATTAATTTCAATTTCTTATAAAATGATGGAAGTTTAGCTTCATACGGTCATTTTATTTCCTAAATTAGTTTTAATTTCAAATGACGTAGTTATTTACAAGTAAAGCTAGGGGTTTTAATGAATTGAGCTTGATTAGAGCAAAATGTTTACGCATAGTTCAATTGTTAATTGATTGCTTGATTAATTTGAACAGCATTATCAAATATTGGGAATAAAAGGAGAGAAAAAAGAACAAGATGGGAGTGAAGCAAGCATTAAGAGCTATTGATGCATTTCCACGTGCTGAAGATCATTTGTTGCAGAAAACCAAGTCTGGCGCCCTCGGTATTCGTTCATAACCTTTAGTTTTGTGCATTGTCAGTGTATAGATTTTTTACACCATGAGGTTAAGTTGATTCTCAATAACAGGTAAATCTTCTTCAAAAACGTTCTTAGTTCCACGATTCATTCCGTGGCGCGAAATCCATCATTGGCAAAAGAATTATTTGGTTATGCCATAACCGAAGCTAGTGTATCGTTTGCCCCAATGATGGCCTTTTTTCATCTCATTTGCATTCTGAGTCCGTTAGTAAACGTTTACGGTGGGTGGGTAAGCAGGAGGGGATCCCTGTGGTCAGTTAAATTGAACTTACCACTATCAGTGTATATAACTTAAAATCTTTTTATTTCTTTGCTTCCTCTTTGGGGTATAAAATGGGCCTGTATTGAGTGGAATGGATACAATTAGGATTCTTATAGCCAACCTTAACTAACCTGAGATTGAGGTATAGTTCATTGAGGTATTGTTGATTGATTCTTTGTATTCATTCTCAATTGTTTTTTTTTGATAACCGAGGGAGCTAATCCCAAAAAGATGAGAAAATCAGTTAGATATTGGAGAGCTTTCAGCTGATTTTAGGTAGATTTCATCTGATACCTGAACTAGTTTGAACTGTAGGTTTTCAGCATATGCGAGTATCAGATATTGGAACTACTTGCTTTATCTTAGTCATGAAATGACCAAGACACTTGATTATTGTTGAGTAGCACAACTTCCACTTCTTAATGTGGCAATATCTTTTTCTGCCACCCTCAGCAATTGTTTGTCTCCATTATCGTGATGATGTGACTGTTAAACAAAAGAAAAAGATAACTACTCCCTCCGTCCCAATTTATGGGGCACTCTTTCCTTTTTAGTTTGTCCCAAAAAGAAAGTCATTTTTCTATATTTAGAAATAATTTTACTTTAAAGTTCTTCTTTTACGCTTAATGAGATGATTTATAGCCACACAAATATCAAGTCTTCCTTTCTTTCTAAACTCTGTGCCTAGTCAAATGGTGATACATAAATTGGAGGAGGGAGTATATCGTAAAGTAAAGGGTTACGAGAATGCAGCCTATCTATGGTCCATGCTTAATCTTTACCTGACTGGTGCTAACCATTAAATATTTTTGAGTTATCTGTTTTACCTATAGCCCAGCTTTACCATTAACAATCCACTCTAACTTTTCACTGATTAGCATTACTTTTGAATTCAACATGTAGAATTTCTTGCTTATTTTGTCTGTATTTTGCTTGGGTTTGATTCTTTTACTAACTTTACTCTTTCCTTCTTTTCTTTACCAGTTTCGGTTGTGGGTCTGGTTATCATGGCAACATTATTCTTACATGAACTGAGTTACTATCTTAATATAGATACGGTTCATCAGGTATTTTACGTCTCCTTAGTGTAACTTTCTTCAGGTTTAGCTTAATCTATCTCATTTGAAGTAAGTTTGTGCTTTGACTTCGTCTATCGCTCTGTGCAGATGGCTGTTGACTTGAGACGTGGAGAAACTCTTCCCATTCACATAAATATGACATTCCCCTCTTTACCTTGTGATGGTAGGACAATATTTTCTACTTGCTGTCCATGTTTGTTTATTCTAATTCGAGTTTCACTTTTCTCAGTTAATATTTTGCTCGTAATGTTTCAGCAGTTGATCAGTTTATTCTTTTTGGTAGTTCTAAGTGTGGATGCTATTGATATGTCGGGGAAGCATGAAGTAGATCTTGATACAAACATATGGAAGGTAATTGGTCTACTGTGACTGACGAAAATTTTTCGCTGCCAGTCAAACTGAAAACAAAATGACCATGTTTTGCACTACAGGGTAATGCATAACACCTTTAGTTGTTAGTTTTAGTAAATTGTGTTTCTTACTGTTTCAAAGAAAAAAAGAAGAAGACTAGGATCATAATTAGTTAGGGATTCTTATCAACAAACTTTTACACCTTAGATGGACTAAATTTTATGGGATGAATATATTTGTTGTCATGCTATTGGAGCTACAGTAGTCAACACAGATTATTCTGGTGCATTTCCAGTCAAAAGTATTGTTAACTTGTTTTTAGTTTGTCATGTAGCAATTCTTTTTCTTCTTCTCTCTTATTTTTTTGCGTGGTTGGGGGGGACTGTGCCAAGCTTTAGATTATGGGTAATACTTTTATGTCCATTAGTTTGTCATAATTACTTAACCTCCTCCTACCTTCTAAAATAACATTGATCAGTAACTTCTTTAAGTAGTATTGATACTGCAGAACAATTTCTCTTAATAGTAAAAGGCGAAAAGGAAAACTTACCAACACAAAAGAGATATATGTTAAAAGATTGACCTTTTTACTTTTCTTGTATTTCCCGCTAACAATTCATATTTGTTGTCAATAGCTTAAGCTAGTTTGAGTAGAAGATTTTAGGAACTTTTAGCAATACTAACAAGAAATACTTTGGGTGTGAGGTTTGTCCAATACACCAATATTCTTGGTGTAGTGTAGATATGGAGATGAGAGAGGCAGTAGAGGCTTTATACTAGTAAATTGCAACCTACTGTGGTTTTGCTAAGAAAAATGTCATGTCCGACAATATTTAGGACAACTATTATGATTCTCTATCACCTGGTCTCTCATTGTAACCTGACAATTAGGAATGTCAGTGTAATTTACCCAACATTTCTCACTCTTTCTTAACTTGGTAGTTGGTATTAGCTGTCTAGAGCTTTCTGGAAGTCCTAAACTTACAAATCTGAATAGACCTACCCCAGTATTCCCCACTTTCCTGGTTTCGTTCTGTTAGTTTACTGAATTTCTCTTTGCAAACTTTGTAAAATTGAAAGAGAGGATGAAGATATTTGTTATTTGTCTTCTGTTTCCTAGATTATAGGAGTAGTAGATGATGTAATTTTCTTTTTCTTCGAATTGGCATTTATTTTCACATGCAGTCTACAGCATGTGCACGTCCATGCATATACTTTTCTTCATGCCCTTTTAGCAATTAAGGTTGAAATCTTTGCAGCTTCGCTTGAACAGTGATGGCCATATCATTGGCACCGAATATTTGTCAGACCTTGTTGAGAAGGAACACGAAGCTCATAAGCATGGTAATGTCTTTGGTTCTTCTGCCTTTGGGTCGTAGCACTAGTTTAACTGTCCGCCTCTCCTTTATCCGAGTCCAAGTTAAATGCTTGTATGCTTATGCTTTAAACCTGCTTAGCGCGACCTTGGCCCTTGATCATGTTAATGTAAATTTCTTGACAAATATATTTAATTCTTGTTAGACCTTTATGACTTTTATCAAATTCTCTTTTTCAGGCAGTGGATAAATGGATCCAACTTGCCAAAAAACAAATAACTTGAGAAATTCCGTTTATATAGATATGTCAGTTGATTATTTTGAGCTCTAACTTGCATAACGCATTTGTGTATTAATCTCCTATGTATTGATTGCATTGTTTTAAGAAACAATTTTTACCAGATGTGCACAAAGACCATCACGAAGATTCGGATAAGATCCATCTTCAGGGCATTGATGAAGAATCTGAAAATATGATCAAGAAGGTTAAGCAAGCAATGGCTGTTGGGGAAGGATGCAGGGTATGTTTTTGGCAGTTCTGTTTATGCTTGTTCTCGTAGTTGTAACCCCCCCTCCCCTCTCCTCTCCTCTCCTCTCTCTCCCAATATCTTTCTCTCTTTGGGCCTTAAAATCTACTGCCTCTTCGGCTAACTAAGTGATGGTGGTGTTGCATTTAACTGATGCTTACATTGTTCCGTGCAGGTGTATGGTGTATTGGATGTCCAGCGAGTTGCTGGGAATTTCCACATATCCGTTCACGGATTGAATAATTTTGTTGCTCAAATGGTCAGCTCTGTTGATATTTTGTAATTCTTCTTGTAGATTTTATGGACATACACGATTACTGTTTGAAAATGCGTATACTCCATTGAACGTTGTTCTATTCTAAGGTATCAGCTATCAGGTTAAATAGTGTGAGAAGCTATAATCCGTAAAATTTTGACGTAGTTGGAAGATGCTAAAACAATTTCATTTAAGAAACTGGGGCAATAACCCTCCCAAAGGATTTTGAGACAGTTTTTTACTTCGGCTTTTGGTGTTATATCATATTATATAGGTGGTTCAACTAAAGTGGAAGTCCTGCTTTGTCAATAAAACTTGCTAGTTATTTTTTACTGGTGCATGACAAAAGGAAGATTGTGCTGAAGCTACTTTTTAGGTTTTGCTTGTGGTTTGATCTATGATCATTTAGTTGTACAACGAGCTCCTAGATAGCTTGTGAAACAGGTATAGAGAAATTAGGAATACCACATTTCTTAAGGGTCTGAGTGCAGAAATTTTTTCATTTTTGTTTTAATCCCTGTTCTGAAGTACATCAAGCTCTTCTCAAAGCTTGCATGTTACAGAGGCATTTAAAGGATCCTTTTTTTCTCTTTTCTTACTTCCAGTTTATTTTCTCACTCTTATTTGTATCTTTTGAAAATGCAGATTTTTGAAGGGTCTACACATGTCAATGTAAGCCATATCATCCATGATTTGTCATTTGGGCCCAAATATCCAGGTATTCATAACCCGCTTGATGGAACATCGCGAATTCTGCGTGGAGCAAGTGGCACATTCAAATATTTCATTAAGGTTTGTGGTATAGCCTTCATTGTTAGTTATGGAGATCTAATCTAGTGTTTAGTTTGAATACTCTTAGAGCATTCAAACATAGCCTCGACAAACTTTCTTTCTTTTCTTTATTTATTTTTTAATAAGGACCCATGACCGTTTTTCTTAAAGTGGTGAGATGAATAAACTTGTACTTATGGTTGCATGCTTCAGTTATTTGTCTGGGTTATGTTGTGGTATATGAGATCTAACTTGAATTAAAGTCTGTAAATCTGCATCCTTTTCCTTTATAACAGGGACCTAATTATCCTTGTTCTCCACCAAGGCTAAATATATGCAATTGTTGACTTTTAAAGATTAAAATGGCACCAAACCTACTATCCTAAAAACAGAAAAAAGAAAAGGAATCATGAAATGGCACCTTGTTGTATAATCACATAGCATGAATTGTATTATAGCTTTTTACTGATAGAAATAAAATGAGAGAAGAAAAGGAATCATGAAATTGCACCATGTTGTATAATTGCATAGCATGAATTATGCCGTCCAAAGTAGCTTTATTAGCTTTAATACTCTTGCAAAAAATACTCGCTGGATCATCTAATTAGTGCATAAGTTCACCCCTTTGCTGCTTTACACATAGCTATATCCACAATCAACTGCATCAGGGAAAAAAGCCCACTATCAACTGAAAAAGCAAGGTGGTAATTGTATTGGCATCAGGATATGTCACTGTTAACAATGTCTATTTTTATTATTTCCGTTTAACGCCACGGTTTTATGACTGTAGGGAACTTTTTCCTGATACCAGCTACCCTCAGCATCCAAATCTTTTTTCAGCATACCCTAAGTGAAAAACTTTTTGTGGATTTGTACTTCTTTTTCAAAATGTTAAACCCCGCCCACACCTCCCTTCCCATGGGCCATCAGTGGTTTTTTCCACTTTTTGCACCTTGATGACTTGGACCAGTAACCTCACGGTTGGAGGTGAAAGATCTTCTCCTGTAGGCCAACCCCTTTTAATCCATTTAGGGATTTGTCTGTTGCAAAGCTAAAATAAACAAATAAAGTGTTTCCTCTCTAGCGACTTAATTTCTTAGAGGAGAATTTACAAAATTGAGAGAGGGCTTGGATTCAAGTCACTGCTACTCCTTCACAAAACTATTTCCATGTACGTGGCTCAAGAAAAAAAATCAAGTTCGGACGTGAGTGAGCATGTTATAGACTTAAAAAATAAGCGTGTCTCCTCTCTAACAAGCTCAGACTTAGATGAGACAGTTCAAACAATCTAACAGTGTTGACAAGGAACATTAGTTGAAACATGCATCCTGGTTCGGTTGCTTTTCCTTGTGAACTTTTGGCCAGAAGATAAGTCTTGAGTCAAAAATGACTTTTTTTCTGGATGTGCTCTTGTGCTTCCATATTTTGATGTTCTGGGTTTTGTCATGTAGGTTGTTCCAACTGAGTATAGGTATATATCGAAAGAAGTTTTACCGACTAATCAGTTTTCTGTGACGGAGTACTTTTCTCCCATCAATGAGTTTGATCGGACATGGCCAGGTGAGTTTAAGCTACCCTTCTCCCTTTTCCTCTTGCTGTATTTCACTGTTCACTGAATGTCTTTTGTCACTATATGCAGCTGTATACTTCTTATATGATTTATCACCAATTACCGTGACCATCAGAGAAGAACGTCGCAGTTTTCTGCACCTTATCACTCGGCTCTGTGCAGTTTTGGGTGGGACATTTGCCTTAACAGGTTTGCCTTCAACACTTAGCTGTAGGATTTAGATAAGGTGAAACCCCACTAATAAGGCATAAGTCCCTGCTAATTCATTTTATTCTTCTTTTTGAAATGCTCCTTATATAGTTGAATTCAAGGCGCTTGACTTGAATATCTCTGAAGAAGTTAAAAATCATTTTCCAAGTTGTACAAAAAGTATTTAGCAATATTTGGTGTGAGAAATTGTGGAACTTGAGCTTATTTTTATTCTTCCTTGCCACTCATATATCAAGAGCTGAATGCTAAATAGTTTCTTGAAGAAAAAATTTAACTGTTACTCAGCCTCAGTCAGAAATCTTCTACATGTAGTCAAACACACTGACATGTTAGTATTTGTTTTGTGATAGGCATGCTAGATAGATGGATGTACAAGCTTCTTGAAGCTGTTACAGAGAAAAATAGCAGAACTATTGTGCGATAAACGTGGAGACATTGCACTACTGATATGTTCAGTCAAGCTAAATTGCAGAACTGGTGCACTAGGGCTGGAGTTTTAGCCAACAAAGCAGAATCAACAGCAAGTTTATGTACACTAGAACATAAACTGTCTCTTTATCCTTGTGATTTTGGTGCACTAGAACAAATACCCTACCATACCAAGTTTATTCTTGCTGATTGAGAGGAAAAAATTCATTCACTGGTCAATGTAACAAAAATCCGAGATGTCGCTCAAAGTTTTGAACATTTCTTCTCATTTTTGTTCACTTAGTTGAGAATTATCATAAATGAGTATGTTGACCTATTTTGTGCTTTACTACAGCCATTGTGCTTAAGGTGGTATTGAGAGTGTATTCACTTCCTAAAATTGATGTCAATCTTATTTCTAACTGCGATTTTGGCTTAGTGAAAATAGTTTATTCTACATAAAATAAATATCACCAAACAGTTTTAGGCCGAAAAAATCAAATGCTTCCAGGAAAGTTATTTTAACACATAATTTGACATGAAAACAAAATAAATTGTAGCTAATTTGTTCTCTGAGAGTGTAAAGATTCACACAGTATAAAGTTATATAGAACAATAGTCAGTATTCCAATAGAATAGAAAAACTCTTAAGTACACTTTCCGCTGTGAACCTTTTCCCTGTTGATAAGAGAATTCAGTACGTCCAACATACAATGGTTAGTTTTACAAAGGCTAGGCTATTACAGAATTTATAGAAACTGAATACAGAACATCGAGAACATCAATAAGTATAACCTAGTACCAATCATGAGCGCTCTGGCAAAATTGATGCATCTCAAGCTTGAGATGAAAAAATCATAAACACAGCGAAGAATAACACCAGCAGTGGCAAGAACAACATTCCTTTGTAGATCGCGTGGGTGCCTTTTGAGACCAAGTGGATACTGAAGTGCTATTTATATGGACTTCAAATATAGTAAAGAGTTGTATCATCTGCACTCTAAATACAGCACCTTTGTAATCAATGCATACGATTCAGAGCCGGAGTCCAGCTGCACCTTCATCTATTAATGGAGAAGTCCCAGGGGGCACGCCTCCTGAACCAACCAAAGCAAATTACATGAGAACATAATCCTTCAGTTAAAACCTAAGGAGCCTCCTATGATGGAGGCAGCATGACATTGTCACATCTTTTTGACTGGTATTATGGATCAGATTTTCTCTTCAGGTCCCACCCCACCCTCAATTAACTTTTCCTCTCCAATGTATAATGAAATACAGCATAGTAGACAAAACAACTACATGCATATGGCCCTATTAGCATCACATCACCAATGTTAGTTCCCTCCAATACGTGCATAATGGACCAGTGACGAAGCCAGGAATTTTGCAAAGGGTGCTCAAGGTTAATATATATTTATAAAAAGTAATTTTTGACCTATATACATAGTATAATTCTCTATATACTCGGTATACTTTTCGAATGAACGGTGTTCAAACCCTTCACTCTATGTGGCTACGCCGCTGTATTGGACCATATAAAAACCACCCATTACGAGCGTAACATCCTACAGACTTAGATTTTTTAATCTTCTTTTCAACATTTTGTGTTCAGTGGTTAAAGTATCTACACTTGTTGGAAGATGCTTCTGCAGAGTATACAAGTCACCGTTAAGCACATCCATTCAAAATTAATCAAGAAAGGAGAATGAAACTTGCCTTGAAATGGAGTTCCTCCCTGAACTCTGATCACCACTATCCTTGCCATCTCCGAAGTCATCAAAACGGCTTGAACGGTTACTGCGGTCAGACTGTGAATCTCCAAATCTACTTGAACGCCCCGAACCAAAGTTAAGGAAACCACCCAAACATTTTGAGCCTCCAGAACCACCAAACTTTCCTGAGCGGCCCGAGCTAGTTCCACCGTAGCCACCCCCTGATCTTCCAGAACCAGTTCCACTGTATCCACCTGTTCGAGAAGATGAAGCGCCTTCTCCACCAAACCTGCTGCCTTTATTTCCATAGCCACCAGAACGACTTCCACCAAAATCACCAGATCGACTACGCATGGTGCCTCCATAGGAGCCAAAGCGGTCACTGCCTTTGCCCATGTCACTATACATGTCTGCTGCTCCAGCCTCTACTTTAATACTTGGGAGCTATTTTCAGCAAGTACATGCAGAGAAAATAATTTGATGAGATAATAATTCTGTACACCAGTGTATATAGAATATTCCAACGGGCTCGTGTTCGACTTCAGCAATTCAAGAAAATTAGAAGCACAAAAGAATTTCACAAATGCAATGTTTTGATAAAGGAATATGATTGCAACTCCTTTGCAAGATTGGTTCAAAATAGGAAGTCTCTGATAAGGTAGTGTAAAGTAAGAAGTTTGTGTCCCCTTAATTAGAAAATTGATATAAGTGGATCCTGCGACAAATAATTCGATTTTCAGCATTCTTTTCCAATTCAGATAATCCCGTAATTGGATTATACATATAGTTTAACTTTAAATAACCAGTAATATAGATAGAAGGAAAAAGTAATAAAAAAGTTAATAATTGAAATATTTTTAGTTGAACGCCCACAAAGCTATGGAGATTCCTCTCTTTTTCTACGCATTAAAAAACACAAAGCTATGAAGATTCAAAGTTCAAACTCTATTCTTTCTTTACTAACAAAGGCACAAGAAAGGAAAAGAAAATTTTTAAAAACAAAAAGAAAGAATTACAGCCCATGTCACTTGGCCTAATAGCCCAACCGAAAATGGCCCACATTTAAAGCTCTTACCCTATATAGCCCATGTTGTACATAACTTGAAAGAAACTTTTCAGCCTTTAGCCCACTATTAAAGACATACTTTTAGGGTTTTTATTATTTTCTTCTTTTTTCATTCCCTTCTCTCTCTCACCGCCTCTCACTCCTTTCTCTCTAACCCACATAGATCCCTCATCCTCTCCTAACCTAGCCCCCGCTATTCCCCTCCTTTACCCCCTACGCAATTCTGCCATTAAAGGCTCGAAGAAGGCTCGAAGAAAGACTCCGTCGTCCATGGTGGCAAACAGAAGAACGAAGAAGATTTTTGAAAGAAACATGAAAATACACACAGATCTGAAAATAAATAGCTCTCAAACTTGATTTGCACCAACAAACAACCACTAATTTTGGAGGATTTTGAAGTTTGAAGTTCTGGTAATTTTGGAAGATTCTGAAGTTTGAAGTTTGAAGTTCTGGAAAATCATAATTATGTAGCAGGTTGTATCGACACTGTATAATAGTGTATAATTGTGTATATGGGTATACAGACACCTCTTATACACTATTATACATGTTTATACAAGTTATACAGTATTGTATAATTGTGTATAAATGTGTATATTTGTGTATAATGTTGTATAAATATATATATTTTTTCAGTTTATAAGGATGTATATACATTGTTAGCGTGTAAGAGGTCTCTACAGAAGTTTGACACTTCCTTCTCTTCTTCTTTTTCGTGTATGTGCTATATGAAACAGATTTGTACGCGTTGGAGGAATTCTACAATTCATTTATCAATTTTTTATTTTTCTTTTATCCTGTTGGATTGCTTCAGCAATTGCACATAAAGGTGTTTGAATTTCTTACCTTCAGATAATATGTTGATTGTGTGAAATAAGCTGTTTTTTCGGGAATTAGCCTATTATTTTTGGGCTATAGATTTGCAATGTGATATCTAGGCTATTATGTTGCAAGTCAGGTGTGTGAGTTGTACTTAAGTGAAATTATCCCAAACAAAAACACCCAAAGCAGGCTCCTTGAAGGTAAAAAAAACCAAAATCCATATTATCCCGAAGGTCCAACATAAAATTGGTTTACTGCAATAATGGATGCCTATGCTCGTTAACCAATAGAAATGTATTTTGCGCAGACTCTCCAAAAGTGTTGCCGCACCCGTTTCAGGTCCTCCAAAAATGTACTAATTTTGGAGGATTCGATACACACCCGGCAATATTTTTGGAGATTCCGAGCAACATATATAGAAATCATATTCAGATACCAGCATACCACATCTGGCCTTATAAAAGCATGCCAATGGAGTTAGACGTCAAAACTAGCTCATTCAAAATTTCCCACTAAAACTATCCCTGACACCATGGGGTGTACCCCGACGATCATGATGTCGCTTAAATTGTGGGGGTCTGTGGAAACAGATCATTATGCGAGTACCAGAACACAAGTATAACAATCTACTCTAACAGGTATAGTAGCTCAACATGCATCTATTGCATCCTCCAGTTCTCCATAAGTGAAAATGTGAACAAATCTGAATGAGGATTTTTAAAAGTGAAACTGTAAGGTATAAGCACCCTTACCTCAGTAAATCTGCACCCGGCATCATGTTCAATACCTTTCAAATCCCTATGCTGTTTTGAGGAATGCATGAGAATGGCACTTCCTTTCTTCCCAGCACGTCCAGTTCGACCAGATCGATGAACAAAGATCTCTGAAGAGTTCGGAAGTTCATAATGTATCACCTGAGCACCAAAATCTCTACTTTAACTTCAGATAGCAAAAGACAAAAAGCAAACTGCA